ATTGCAAATATAGGACGGGGTGAGTCGAATGTTGAAAAAGCATTTGAGAATTAACTTCTTGATTTTCCACTTTACTCTCATCATGCATTAGCATGCATTGTCTAGGTTGAAACCCTAAATTATAGCAAATCAACAACGTTATTCTCGTCAAAAACAACTCGATTAGAATAGTAACCATCTTTGAAACAACAATTTTCTAGGCAAAAATCTGTTCATAAAACCTTAGCGTCTTCGTTATATGAAGATCAAAGTAGCATCGCATTATTGAGACTTCCTCTGATTTTTAAGCATTTGCAAGCCTCAGAGACCCTAGATGTGATTTTCTTATTTTTATGTTTCTGTGAAACGTAAATTTCTTTGAAATTTAGGAGCAAATCGAAAAAACTGCTACAAGGTGCATTTCAATTTAGTGATCAATGCTGGGTATATCAGATGGACATGCTGACTGATTTGTTTTCTGGGAATTCAATTGCTTGTTAAAATTTTTCCAACTTTGATGTTTTCTCTCATTTTCTTATGTTTTTTTTTTGAGTAGCTCTTGTTCTTCCTCAGTTATGTTAAACATAACCCATTTAATGCATTGACAAATCATCTAAGATATGTCCAATGCTTGCGTAATTGAGTAAAACTTTTTGACCTTTTTTTTAATAATCTTTTCGCTTACTTCGCTACCATTTTAACTTGGCCCACTACCAAACAGCGATTACAGAGAATGGATGCCGGTACACAATGGGTAATTGCCGTTCTTGTGCTACTTCTAATTCTACTGATTGTGCTACTATTCTCAAAAACTCCCTTTCTAAGCTTATTCATTGCTAAGCGTGGATGGGAGAAATTGGATGAGAATAGCGGCATACTTGAACACTCCAGCTCGCTATCACGTATCCCTCTTCATTATAAGCAGCCGGGAGATAAAGCGGCCACATTCTGTCACGGTAACCCCATTGATGGATTCATCAAGATGAACTATGGAATTCAAGTAAGTTGGAATTACATTAGCCTAGAAGTCTTGCCCTCTTTTTGTTTGTTGCGCAGCGTCTTTAGTAAAAGTACTCTGGCTGTGCGTCTATCTCGTTAGGGTAAGGGTATTTAAAGAGGAAAAAGACAATTCTTCACAATCCGTGCACTAGCTTTTCACGTCTTTCTATTTGAAAATCATTAATGGTAAGAAAATAACTATATTTGTTCAATGTTTGCTTTAGATTTTCTCTATGAAGATTAGAGAAATTTAGAAAATTTCAACGCTAAGCCTTGTCTTTAAAAGCCACTAAAGACATATTTTCCTTTTTAGAATGTAAGAGGCAATTTCATTACTAAACCTAAGCTTCTCTTACCACTTTCAAGAGCTTAATTGCGTTTTGTACTGCTCTTAATATATAAATAAATTAAGGAGGAGAAGGATCCACGGCAATATCTTGTCCCAAGCGAGGAGATTCAGCATCAATTAGTAGTCGAAAACACTCCGGATGTGCATCTCACACCAGAACGAAGAATATCAGGTAAATCCTTTTCTAAATCATCGTGCAATGATAACCTTAGAATCTGTAGCTTTCAGTCAATGCTGAAGAAGCGCTGCCACAGTTTTTAGCAGCAGAAATTTGTTAATTTTAAAAGCAGAGCTTTTGATAGTCTAAGAATTATAAGATTCAAAAATTCGCACTCAACTTGAGAAGACCTTAAATATCAAATAGTAACTAAGTTTAAATAAAAGCTCAGTTTATAACTATGCTATATTTGTCCAAAATGTGCTCAGTAACACAAATTATACGAAAAATGAAACCTATTATCCATGTAACAGCGAACCACATCTTCCGAAAAGTTGATCAACTGGCTCAATGAGATCTCAGTTGACGTCAAAGTTTCCTCTTCCTAATTTGAATGCATCTTCAATGATTGTGCTCACTTATGCATTGCCCTTTCCTGCGCTTTAACGGCCACCAAGCTTTAGAATTTCAAT